GTATAGTTGGACTATAATCTTAAACTAGTTAAACACAATTTAATAAAATATTGATATTGGCCTTTCATTAAATAGTTTAATTTAAGGGCGAATTGACAATAGAAATGGTGTTACAGGGCAATTTTAATACTTCTCTCCAGGAAGCATATTTATATTTGTCGAGCAACTTGTATTTCGCGAACACCAACATGGGCAGAAGATGAAAATTAAAGCACTTTGTATATCCCTTCTTCAATGCATACATTAAATTCTTCTCTAAATAGTAACTTTCCAGACAAAAAAATGCTTTGGTTTGAGAATAACTTGTTTGTTAACAAAAAGGCAATATGGTCGTAAGGACATAATAGCGATTTCGGCACGACTCTCTGCCACACCCCCTGTGGTGATAGAATTTTAATTGCTCACGTGGCCAGCTTCAACCAGGGTCTTTTCTCCCTACAAGTAGAGTAAAGACCCTGGGTACAAGGTTGGCAATTCAGCAGCTCCAAAGAATACGGAATGTACGAAACTACTCGAGACCAATGCAGCTGAAAAAGTACTAGGTCTTATTTTGGGACAATATAAAGGTTGATTTCTCCTTCAAAGTGAATATCAGCCTGTCAATGCTCCAACCAGGTAATTCAACTGAAGTGGCGACAAAGAAGCTAATAAAGAGAAAAATTCTAAGTCAAATAGCCAGAGTGTTCGACCCGTTCGGATTTGCTGCAGCCTTCATAATTAAGGCTAAAATTGGAATGCAAGATCTTTGAAAGAGGAATTGAATGGGATAAAGAACTAATGAAAGCAGATAATGACAAGTGGACGGCACTATTTGAAGAAATGAAAGAGCTCAATAATGTTACTGTATTTTTTCGGATGCATCGGAGAAAGCATTTGAAACTTGTGGGTATATAAGATGGCTCCTAAATTATGGTACCTTTGATGTAAGAATGAAGAAGAATGGCCACAAAATGCGGTCAAACCAAAAGAAGACAAAGTTAGCAAAGAGCGATGCATACCACAAGTTGTCTGCTCCATCGATGCAAGCCAGGAACCCATTGATTGCAAAAGGTTCTCAAGATAGCGAAGACTTGTCAGAGTTACAGCTAGAATACAAAGATTGATGCGGAAAACAAGATTAACTCTGCTGGTAATGATGGAATCTTAACTTCCAGACAATTTAAGAACAGCCGAACTTTACTGGATCAAGCGTGCTCAGATAACTGTTCACAAAAGAGTGAAGAATGGAGAATTACGACAATTCAGTCCTTTCAAGGTGTCCTCAGAGTTGGGGGCTGAGTAGATAAAGCATTGGTGTCCTATGATAACAAGCATCCCGCATTACTACCTTATGAACACTGGATCTTAACTCTTATTACTTGTCATGCACACAAACAAGGACATAGTGGTATTGCTGCAACTGTAGCGAAATTGAGAAAAAATTGCTGAATCCTGAAAGCGCATAATGTGGTAAAGAAACTGATGTGTTTTCTGTAAGAGCATAGAGCATAAATTGGAATCTCGGCGGAACTTCCAACAACATGATTAACCCTGCAAACCCCTCCCATTTACTACACTTCTTGTGACTATTTCGGTCCGAACAAGGTAAAAATCAGCAGAAACAAAACAGATATGAACTATGGAGTGATATTTACATGCGTGAATTCGAGAGCTATTCATCTTGAGCTAGCTACAGACTATTCAGCAATGGGTAAGAAGATGGAAGTGGTAAGAAGATTTTTCTGCATTCGAGGCTGTCCAAAATTAATTCTCAGTGATAACGGAACTCAACTTGTAGGCGTAGCTAGAGAACTACGTGAAATGATACAAGGATTGGACATCCAGAAATTAAAGGAATACTGCGCAGAAAGAGGAACAACATGGCAATTCATCACACCTTCAGCACCCCACCAGAATGGGTGCGCTGAAGCACTAAAAAGTTGTAAACATGGACTTGAGAAAGCAATTTGAGATCATATATCTTATCACCATTTAACTTATACACTTGTCTACTTGAAATTGCTAATCTGGAGAATCTAAGGCCAATAGGGCCTATTCCAAATGATCCCGATGATGAGTCATACTTCTGTCCTAACGATGTGTTACTTGGAAGATCATCATCTACAGTTACTCAAGGTCCATTTGAATCAACCAAGAATCCTCGGCGACAGTGGACTCGTTTTGGAACCAGTGGATGAAGGACATGTTCCCATTACTCGTACCTCGAAAGAAATGGAATACAGAAAGGTGAAATGTAAGAATCAACAACCTTATAATGACAGTGGACGAAAATGCAGTCAGAGGAAAGTGGAGCATAGGACGAATACTTAAATTAAAGTGCATCCAGGTAGAGATGGTAAAATCCGTAACGTTACGGATCAAAACGCCTATCTGTTGGAATATACAGAAGACCTATAACTAAAATTCCAGTGATTTACCTGGAAGAAGGCTATGATGAGGATTGTTGATGAAGAGATGACGTCCCCGCCATCCGGGGGAAGGATGTTCAGACTGAAAATAGCACAAACTTTAATTTATTTTGTTATTAATTGTTATTTCCAGTGAAAAATATTTAGCATAATTTATGCATTTTTTCGAACACGAGGAAACAGACAATGTGATATTGTGAAAAGATATGGAATTTGATGGGAATGACTCGGGAAGAAGTATGTTTAATACTGTGTATCCGTTTGTAAATTCGGTAAATGTCTTGTCTTATATTTTTAGATAGAATAAAATAAAGTTGAATGTGCGATTGTCAAGTCATTTTCTCAGATCGGAAGCTCGTAAACTCATACAGCCAGCCACTGTAGCCCTTCTGACCCCCTCCATTGACAAAAAGGTTCAGAGTGGTAGGTAATGCACAAGCAATCAGTGCTTCCACAACAAAAATAAAAATTTCTTAACCAGCCAAGGCAAAATTTCCTGATTTTCCCAAGTTTCCAACCCAGATTTCCTGAAGTATTCTGGAAATGACAGACTGGAATTTTTAGATGTTTTGATGTAAAGAAAACAAATTTGAGTACATGTGTTTAGACAAAACTTTATTTAAGAACATATTAATGTAACATATGCTTCTAAATTAAAATTAAAATGAACTCAAACATATTAGTTACATCCAAGTAAAAGTGCACTAAAGCATTGAAATGTGTGTAATTTATTCGTGATAATATACTAAAATCATGTGTATCAATGGGCGACACATTATTTTAGTATATTATCACAAATAAATGACATAAATGTCAATTTCACCAAAATAAGGATGGCTTTGTTCTCATTTTTCAATGTTTTAGTGCACTTTTACTTCATTAAAACCACTTGCCATTGGGTCACCATGGTTACATTACCAACTTTAGAACAGTAAATCAGGTATAGTCTATAAGTTCTACCCTGTAAGAGCCTGGAAATGCCCTGGATTTCTAAAGGTCTGTTCACACAATCCGATTTTGTTTGATCCCATTCACTTCTGATGGATGTTTTATAGTCTGTTGTCTTGTGAAGTATATAAGCAGCAAATCCACTAAAGCCAATGCAGTACTGCTTTATCAATTACTGACTATATTTCATACATCAGAAGTGAATTAGATACGCGACCAAGTTTTCAGGAAGACATATTGGAAGGTTATTTTCTGCTATAAAAGCACACATCTTGATTTCGATTCTTGCTGGTCTTGATTCGGCAGAAAACAGCAATGTAATCGACACATGTGACTGCTGCAAATCATTTAACATTCTCTTCATGTTCGTGCTACTATCCTTGTGTCAATTTAGTGCCGTTCTGGCACAAGAAAGGCAGATCTTGCAAACCTTGCAATAAGGTATTTTATCCTTTTGCTCCAGCCAATCTTTAAATGCATCTTCATACAGCCAGTGATACACATGGCCAGTTTTGCCGGATAAATTTTGAAACAACGTGAAAACGATGTCAAGCTTGTGGCATCACTTCATTTTTCTCCACGTTTTTTTTTTGGCCAAGGACAGTGTCCCGTTTAATGCTGTTGAGCGTCCTGGGTTCAAGTGGTTACTTTATGTCTTGGAACCCTGCTATCAAGTTCCTGCTAAATCAACTTTTTCCAGGGATCGAACAGTGAAGCTCTATGATGCAACTCAAAGTAACGTTTACGCTGAAATAAAGAGCAATGTCAATTTTTACGCTGCCACCACAGACATGTGGTCATCACGTGGTATGGTCCCTTATATTGGATTCACATTGCATTCGATCGACAAACAGTGGGTTTGCAAAATCGTACTTTGGGGACGAAGTATGTGCCTGAAAAACACACAGCTGAACAGCTAGCAGATTTGCAAGAAAGCAGTAGCAGCCTTCAACATGAGTTGGAAAAGAAAGCAAGCTCTTTCAGAAGCCCAACTCCAAGAAGAGCCAGGAAAGACACCACTGAAACTTGCTTAAGTATGTAGTCATATAATAAACAGTTTAAACACTTCGATCTTTTACAATCTGAGCTAGAATTGTTGTTACAAACTTACAATAGCCTTTATTTTTTATTTATACAGGAATGTTCTACTAGGGGATCTACTCACAAAATGATAACGCGTGTTTTGAAAAACAAAAATGCCATTCGTTTGTTCTTGGGAATGACGGAGAATCACACTTGGTTCCAACATGGCAAGACATAGAAGTACTTGAAGCTATTGACACCGCCCTTAAGTCACTAGCTGATTTTACACACATAATGAGTGGAAGCAAGTATGTCACAATCTCCACGCTGAAGCCAATCCTTCACCGCCTTAACCTGAAGTTAACTCGCGGCTAAAGAAGATGACTTACCAATAACCGGGTCTATCAAGAAAGCGATCCTCAAATACCTTGAGGAAAAATACTCGAGCAAAGAAAAACAGCTTCTGATGAATATTACGTGTTTTCTTGACCCATGGTATAAGGTATAGCATTAGTATTCTCCAGTTAGTTTACAATTTTTTAGTTTACAAATTATAAAATACAATGTAGATTTCATAGTCGTTTCGATTTGTATTTGTAATTTTTGCATTAATATATTTAGATGGACTTCTTTACGGAACAATTTGAAGGTGAAGATGACTGCGACTGCGAGTTTGGTGAAGTCAAAGATGCCTTGTTGGAAGATTTAGAGAAGAGTAGCCATGCATCGCCACAAGATCATGATGACAATGTGCAATGTCAAGCGCCTCCAAAAAAGGTCAAGAAGACTCTTGGTTCACTTACAAGTATGCGCAAGATGTTGGAGCAGTCTTGCTCGTTGCAGTCACCAAGAAGCAGACTGGCGCAAGAGATAGATTACAGGAAAATCCCAACTGTGGAAGGCGACGACGACCCTCTAGTATGGTGGAGGTGCCATTCAAAATAAATCCCCCTTAAGTGAACTTGCTCGGAAGTATTTGGCAATTTCTGCCAGTAGTTCGCCGTCTGAGAGACTCTTCAGCAAAGCCGGCCAAGTGGTAAGCTTACAAAGAGCACAAATAAAACCAGAACAAGCCAATATGCAAGTATTTTTGGCAGAGAACTTATAGTATACTTAGTTAGGACTCTTGTAAAATATTTTAATGGAATCTTCCTTTTAAACGTCAAACGTCAAACAATATATAGAGTAGATCGAATTTACGATTTTTATCAGAAATTCAGACTTCTGAGTCATGATTTTTCCGTTTGCGCGTGTTGCACTTGCAAAGATTCTCAACAGTATATAGGTATAATATTGAAGTGATTGAATCGGTATTATACTTTTACAAGTATACAGGTGCAAGCTCTGCTTGTGTGCGAATATCGAAGTATAGCGAAAAATATTAAAAATCGATATCGAAATATCGATATTTTTTATTCAGCCATGCCAACTGGAAGCTGAATATGAAGAGGCGAGAGCTAATTAAGCCTGACCTCAACCTGCCATATACGCGGTTGTGCAAAGAAGATATTAAACCTTCATCTGAGCTTTTTGGAGAGGATCTCTTGAAGCAGTTGAAGGACATGAAGGAAGCAAGCAAGACGAGGCAACAGATGCAACGACCTGCTTCATTAAAAGGAACTAGTGGGCGGCACTTTTCATCAGATAAAGGCTATAACCCACGTTTCCAAGGACATGCAAAGCCCTATTATGATAGGCCCACGTCCACACAAGTGAACCAACCTTTTTCGGGTACAGTCGTGCCTCACAGAGCAGTCAGTGCCAAAGGGGAAAAACCCCCCCCACCAGTCGGAAGAGCAAGTAACAAAACAGGTCTGTAATAAATATCTTACTGTCATTTGCCCAGATGACCTTTCTAGTGCAGCTAAAGAGTTTAAGGCAGGATGTCTTAAATATTTTTTAAAACATTGGGTATCATTGACTAATGACCCCATGATTTTAGATGCTGTTGAGCATTATATTGAATTTTCTTGGGAACACCCTGTGCAGCCACCAAACATTGTACCAAGGCAGATAGTTTTTTTTTGCTTCTGAAACACTTACTGTTAATGATAATATTAGAAAACTTCTTGCTAAGAAGGTTATTGAGAAGTCATCTCCTGAGCAGGATGACTTTATTTCTACAATATTTTTAACACCTAAGAAAGATGGTGGTCATCGCATGATACTAAATTTGAAGGCTCTTAATGATTATGATGCTTATTCGTATTTTAAAATGGATACCATTCAGACACCTTTACAACTGATGCGCCCAGGCTGTTTCATGGCATCAGTTGATTTAAAAGATGCCTATTACTCAGTCCCTGTAGCAGTTGAACACAGAAAATATCTTAAATTTCAATGACGACAGCAGTATTTTCAGTTAACCTGTTTACCCGATGGGTTGGCCTGTGCACCTAGGTTGTTTACTTAACTATTGAAGCCTGTCTATTCCCATTTACGATCTTTGGGTCATATTTGTATGGGGCACATTGATGACTCACTGCTGATAGGGTACGACTATGCAGCGTGTCAACAAAATTTGTCTTACACAGTTCATACTTTTAGACAATTGGGATTTATTGTACATCCTGATAAGTCTGTTTTTGAACCCACACAACAAATTGAATTTTTGGGTTTCCTACTGAACAGTGTCTCCATGTCCATTCGACTTCCTCCCAGGAAGGCCGCTTATGTTAAAACAGCTTGCCAAGAACATTTTAACAGGGGGGAAACACTATCAGAGAATTGGCCAATGTTATTGGCCTCATAGTATCCAGTTTACCTGGTGTCGAGTTTGGTGAATTACATTATAGGAAAGTAGAGATCAATAAAACTGCTGCACTAAGTGCTAACAAAGGGAACTATGATGCTAATATGACCCTCACACTTGACTCTAGGTCAGAATTACTTTGGTGGGTTGATAATATAGAAATGGCTTACAAACACATAACAGTAAGCAATCCCAACCTCACACTGACCACATCTCATAAATCATTATGCAAGAGGAAGGGTTGCGAATGCCAACAAATGCTAATGAAGCAAAGAATCTATGTACAACATTACTGCACCATATCATTGAGTTAAATAATCAATGATTTTTTTTTGTACTAAGTTTAAGGTGTCAAAAGTTTAATATTGGCATTACTTCATCTTATTAAAAGAATATTAATTTTATGTGAAGCTGCAACGTATCACGTAATACAACTATAACCAACAAAAATGATCATATTATGCATATCAATACAATATGTCATAATACTATAACGTGTACGGCTAATTCAAGAAAGTTATTTCTCATAAACCTTGAGCAAATATTTCCTTGTGAGCGAGTTCAAGAATAACAGTTTTTCGCTTCCCTTTTGTGGGAATTGTTCGACATTCAAACCTCTCCAAAAAATCCATCCATTCATCCTGCTGATTTTCACTAACTCGTTTTTCAACTCCGCTTCAATGAGAGCTCGCTCATCTTTGGAGATGTAATTTAAAAAGGAATGCAATAGCATTTCGTCTGGCATATTTCTGCTATGTAACACTCGATTTGTTCCGAAAGTCCGTTCATGCAACATAACACGCACACGTTTTCTTTGTTCTTCCAAAGTCACAGGCTTATTAGCAAAATCATCCAAGCAGTCTTCAAGGAGCAGAGGAATGAACCCAACGTACTTCGAAAACTCCTCTAAATCGGACTTTATATTCTAAATAATCAGGTGGGAAAGAGTGCAATTCTCAAATTAGGATGCTGCTACACTCGCTCGCTTAAGGCTCGCTCCCTCCGCAGCAATTATATCAAATTAAATAGTACAAAAACTTATGAACTTACTGAACGGGGACAGCTTTCTGTCGTAGAAATGAAGGCATGAAAGGACTTCTGACAAAACATTAAAGGCCGTATTGCAATTTCCACAATATCAGCGTAGATACCGCTTTGTGCTGATTCACAATCGTACAGAAAGAACAATGGGGCACGATTTGTCATGATTTCTGTGGAGAAAAAGAAGTTTTTAAATGTCTAATAAAAATAGCTTGAAAAAAGTACTATAAACCTGATCACTTCTGTTATGAATTGTTGAAGCAATTTATCGAATCCACTCTCGCACAACATGGCAATCGTGGCAGCCTGGTGGCAACGCAAGAAGTTTTGATAGCAGCGTATCGACTCGACTCAATACGCCTTCAGTGAATAATACACGCTATAATATTTTTCTAATGAATGAAATCATAGACAATCTAGACTTTCTGCACTAATCCCTTTTGCGCGGTTTTCAGTTTTTCTACATCGCAAAATACCATGTTTGAACGGGAATAAATTCTAAACTAAAATAGCTATTGCAATTCGGTTTTCAAAAATCGTATATACTGCCAATAAGGATCAAAATATCTAAAATCCATTTTTGTGTTAGGAGCACTTTAAAACAGCAAAGGCTGTTCCGACGTTCTGTAAAATTGTAAATTATTGCTATCTATTTTTCTAATCGCTGCAACAAAACCGTGAGAGAAGCGATTTTATGCGAGCTAAATTCGGTTATTAAACGTGGCAGAAATATGTCTTCATCAAGTTTAACTATTGAGGAGTTACCAAAGGAATGACACCGATTAGAATTGTTTTCCTGCCAATGCAATATCAATGTCAGCCTTGTCAGGCAGTAAGAACACTTCGGACCATACATATGCCGATGATAAGTTGAAATGAAAAGCTATCGTGAAATGGAGCAATCGTGCAACGATCATGGCATCAACTACAACATCAAACTACAACGAAGACTTGATCGTAGACGTCAGTAAATAGCAAATGTTTTCTTATGATTTTGATTGCGCGACTTGTTTCCGTGACCCCAGAACATAATATGATAATATCATTACGCTAGATATACAGTATTCAAATTACAAATAGATTCTATGGTAGTAATGTGGCAGTTGTACTTTTGCATAACATATAACTTCTCTCTAAAGTTCGTTAATTGCGCACATACAGTCCACCCTAATACATTTTACTGCCCCACATATACATTATATTAATAGCATTATAGATTGAAGTTTTCCTGTGGCTCATGAGTGCCGGTATTTCTACAATATGTTTATGTGTAGTTAAATCACGCATGCCTGTGTGATTCTCTGGTTTATTTTCATTACAAATCAACTGAGCTAGAGTATGAGTGGAGTTCCCATGCGCTTTCAAAAAGTTATTCCACTATAAAGGCGTTTCATATTTTACAAAATATAATACATCACAGTCCTGCCGTTGTACTACTACATACTATTATTTATCTAAAGGCGCAATATGCGAGCTCCTATTGTGACGTATTAGTTACCAGTTTCCGACTGTCGCAGATTTCAAAAACTTTTGCCATTAAAATTTGAAATTTTCAAACTTTATCGCTTTATTTCTCCGCGAAAACAAACTCAATTTTAAATGTGATTACTATTTTCGTAATCTACGTTTCACGGCAATTCTAATGAGATAAATTCCAATTTTATGACATGGGCACTTTAACAGCTGTCTTTTTGAAACACCTGAATTATAAAAATCGTTCATAAACTTGCCGTGCAATAGATAGCTATCATCTTTCGTCAAGGCTTTATATTAAACACGTTTGCGTATTTTGAATTGATTCTCGTGCTACGGTGAAAGTTATTTTGTTCGATGGATTTTCATTTATTGCTTGTGTACCTCGATTTTCCTTTTCTAGTCGACTAAAAGATGTATTTGAAGCTATATGTAAAAGTCCAAAGTCTAAATTTGGCAAGTAAAATGGGAGGTGAATCAATGTCAATGCTATACAGTGGTTCAAAGGCCAAAGTTCAAGTCCAAGGGGCAAAGATCAACACGCACATAAATTATCATCATGCAATAATAATAAACATTAATAAATATAAGTTGATTGAGTGCTCTGTTTTTCAAATATATAACGCTATGCATAAAAAGCCAACATTATCCT